TGTAGTAAATGAAACCGCGCATCTGCGCCATTCATTAACAGAGACAGGCAGAACATGCAGGATTCATATTTAAATCGACTTTTGCAGCTTAATATTTACAGATACTAGTCCATATTGTGATCTGATTTAAGTGTAATGACCTACTTTTGATTAATTCATTCAAAATTTGACAAATTCCGTGACATTCAGCGTTAAACTGTGAATTCTGTTTTTATGACTGGATAAAGACTACACTGTGTAATTTTCCCACTTATCATGCGGCCACTTGCCTGCTGTAACATAAAATATCTTACCACCACTTGTGAAGGAGCCAGTATAATGCAAATATATCTGAAAGGTCTGCGTGAGGATATCGTCACGTTCTCGTGAGATCTCGTGCCACGAGATCTCATCACACCCCTATACACTACCATTCAAAATTTTTGTTTTAAAGTCTCTTTTGCTCACCAAAGCTGTTTTTATTTGATCTAAATAGTTTTTTTTTCTCTCTCATAAAATTCTGGTAAATGTAGTGTTCATTGTCCCAAAAAATAAAAGTTAGTTTATTAAATACAATGAAATACATATTTAAGCATAAGCATATTTGGTAACACTTTACAATAAGGTTAATTAGTTTACGTTAGTTAACTGCTTTAGTTAACATGAACTAAGAATGAACAACACTTCTAGCATTTATTAATCTTAGTTAATGTTAATTTCAACATTTACTAATGCATTATTAAAATCAAAAGTTGTGCTTGTTAACATTATTTAATGCACTGTGAATGAACATGAACTAACAATGAATGACTTTATTTTAATTAACTAACATTAACAAAGATTAATAAATATTGTAATAAATGTATTGTTCATTGTTTGTTCATGTTATAATTCATTAACTAACATTAACTAATGAAACCTTATTGTAAAGTGCTACCGCATATTTATATAATACAACGCTAATTTCTATAGGTGCCATTTCAAACATTGTCTCTAATAATACTTGTACTGTTCTATAATATTTCAAAGGAAAGGAAGAAAACATGCTTCCATTTCTTGTGTGAAAAAAAATACTGAAAATCATTTAATTTCAATTCAAGTTTCAATTTTACTACTATTTATATTGTAAATAAGAGAGAAGGAAAACACAAAACACACAGATAATTATCTGCATAAGCAACACAGTTCCATATTAAGAACCTGAATGTTAAGCACTGCACCATGTTGCCAACAATAGGTAGCTTTGTAAACTAATCTAATGATAATTGTAACATGCTGTAATATGATAAAAATCTGTGTTCACAGAAGTATAATGTCTTTGTGAGGTTTAACAACAGACTTTCATCATATTTCCGCTGTAGTGCATATAATCTTGCAAAGCACTCACAGCATACAAAAGCATGACAAGATGGTTTCTAAAAGTCTACTTCTGAGCTAAAGACGTGCTTCATTTAGAAGCTTTGGGAGAGGCAGAAATGTTTTATATGGAGATTGGTTTCTAAGCACAGATTTACAGAGATTGTTAAATTATGCAAGCCTTGTGAACATAGGCTCATCTCATCAGCAGAACAGTCTGCCTCAGCGCACATGATGGCTACCATATGGTACCCAGCTCTGGAGATGGGCAAGAAGAATGCTCTTTACACAGCGAATCTAGCAGAGAGCCCTCCGCTGCGGGTAAAACAGACTTCAAACTGCGGCGGAGACTGCACCAGCCCTGAGGAGAACTGCATCTGTTGCATCTGATAGAAACATCACCATTTCCCACACTTAGTAATGAGGATCCTACACATAAAAATGAGAGCCAGAAAATTACATGTCACTAGCAATTCAGAAACATGGACTATTTCACACAAATTAGTACAAGTCATATACAGTATGTGAGGTTCATACTGCTATGCACGGCACTGTAATGAAGTACATGAAGTCATTTATAAGCAGAGCAAGAAATATCAATTTCAATCAATACAGAAGTGCTCTCAAATCTTGTTCAAGCATCTAAACAAACCAATGAAATTGCTGTTCGAAACCAAAGACTGCTGCCCAGCGGCATGGTCAGTCAATGACTAAACAGAGATTTGAGTTGTTTTCTTTGAGTTAGTACTCAAACAGAGATGTTTGAGTACTAAGGCTCCCAATCAGGCTTCTAATGCCACATAATGTAATAATCTACAATAAATTCAAGAGAAAACACAAGTAAATATCCATCCTTCCTCCCTTCTATCTTATGTTCAAAAGTCCATCTACTTTCATTATTTGGAAAAGAGCAGCCTGTACATTCTGCTAAATAACTCCTTTTGTGTTCCATGAAAAGAATGTGTGACATGTGAATAAATACATGGTGACATCCCTATAATACAACTGCTAAACCAATCAAATTATTTTTTAAGGTGGTTATTCAGAATCAGGAGTGTGTGGCACTAATGTGGCCAGTTCCCATTCAGTTCAATTTTCAGATCAGTAGTAAGATGCAGCATAGGAACGAGGTCCCTTCACACACAACCTCCTCCCACTCCCGTCACAGTGGCTCATCATCTGTACAGCATGAGGAGGTGAGATAAGAATATCAATCTCATCTCTGTCGAGTGACTCACTGTGGGGAACGGTGCAAGAGGAAACATCTGGAGAAGGTCGCGCATCATCCCGTCTCCCATCGGCGCGGCTGACTGCAGACAGTCACAGGGCAAAGACGGTCAGAATCATCAGCATTTATCGGCATAATGAGATGGAACACTGCATGTCCTCAATTGATGCATGGTAAGCTGTATTACTGCTTAAATAAGTTGTCCTTCCAGGAAGGAGAAAGAAAATGGGTTGGGTTCTCACTAACAGCTGTGAGCAACGGGAAGAAGGCGCTGCAGCCCTACTCCTGTGTCATGTCCTTATAGGGCGAGCATCTCAGACAGCCGATCAATAGATAAGTGGTGGAAAGACAGCTCTGGTCTTGAACATGGTCAGCTGTTTACTAGTCCGGAAGGGAGCAGGAACTCTAGTGATTGTGACAGGCCTCTCCGAGCCTGTAATACCTGAAAGTCTAAATAATGAATGAATACAGAGCACTGCCCGGCTCTTTGGCTCACAGCAGAAAGCCGCACTGGGGAAAGTGAGGATTGCCTGTTAAAGGTAGAGGCCAGACAGCCAGAGACAGATTATCAAAGACACATAACAAGCCAAAGTTTCCTTACCTAGTCCCGCTCCAAACAATTTACTTAGAGAGAATACAACATCAAAGCCCACTCCAGACATGTGATCTGATCTGCTGCAAAAGAATGCATTATTTTAAACAAAAATGTAATGTAACACATGCAAAGTGGAAGTCTCTCAACCCTGTTTTAAAAGGCTCATTTAAAATTGTCAGCGTTTTCAGTTTCAGCCCAGAGTATCCTGAAGTTTCAATTTTTGACACTATTCAATTGTATCACTATTCAGATTAAATAAAGAGCAAGTGGAGAGTTGTGCTGCAACACCAAGGTTATGGGTTCGATTCCCAAGGAATGCATGAACTGATGAAATGTTATATTGAATGCTGTGTCACTTCGCATAAAAGCTTCTGCCAAATGCATGAAAGTGTAAAGAAAAAATGTCGTCTTCTCTAAAGTTTCAGTATCAGAACAGTTTCAATCAATAAATGTGCTCAGATATATCAAGATACCAAAGACTGCATTCAAAATTCTGAGATTTCAATATGAACTCCAACATTTCCCATTAAACCCTTCTGAGAACTCCATTAAGGCTTCTGAGCTATAAGAGGGCATCCTCAGAGTGACACAATTTTCATCAGGGTCTCTCTCAAACTCAAACACATTCACACACACAAATCCACTGTGGCTTTGGTGGTGACTTTCTAAAATACTTATGAAAAAATCTCAATCTCCACACCTTTGCAGTGTGGGCCGCTTCAAAAACCGCCAGCTGCACAGCCTCTCTGCCAAGACCACAGAGTGGTCGTTTGCAAAATGTTAACAGTGAGAGTTCATCTCCCCAAAAGATTGGAGGGGGCATTAGCCAAGGCAAACTCTGCCTTTAGCAAAGGGGTATTTTGAGTCCTGTTAAACAGTGGGCCCATAAAATTTGTTAGTAGGCACTTAACCATCTGTACACACAGCAGCAAAAGAATGCATTTGAATATTTTTCACGCACACTGCCTCATCTGGATACTGACCTCTAGAAACCAGTGTGTCCTCTGCAGCCCATTCCAGCACACACAGTACATTTATAAGAGCAAGACCCATCTGGGAACAAGCTGTCGCAAATGTACTCATAAACGAATGTACCTTCCTTATGCTATTCTTTCGTTTTCTGCAGATGAGGTGATGTCTAATTCAGACTCAAACAATGCCTTTACTCATGCATAAAGCACATCATTAATGACCAAATAAGCATTTCTATCACCAAGATCGAAAAATATGCGACCCATATGTGTGCTTTAGTGAGATAAAGACTGGTAGACAGCGTTTAACACACTTGTACAAACTGTCCCAACTAGCTGACAGTGAAAGGAGGAGAGGAGAGATCACAAAAAGACAGTCTGCGCTAATGGGCATGTTTTTCTGCAAAGAGCACAAATCTACAGCAATCAGGAACAGTATTTACATGGACACTTGTTAGCACCTTTGTGCTGTCTCGCTGTGAGAGATTAACTATTTAAAGGATGAGGAGATTGTGTTTGTTCATATTTTAGCTTCGAGACTAAAGTACATTCGGTAAACTGCACTTAATGAAGAGGCTAACATGCATTAAGCGGTGAAATGGTAATGAGTTGAATGTTAACCGTGCTGAAAATGCTAAATGTTTCTCTAGGCGGCTTAAATATATTCAGTTGGGGATATTTCAGGCATTCAATAAAAACAGATGTGTTAAAGGCCCTAAATGAAACAGTTTACATGAGCGATTATCTGAATCATGATGCCTGCGATCATAGACCCTAATGATTCTCATTACTCGCTTCTCACTGATGATCCACCATATGGCGGTGGAAGCCCACAGAGATACTATTTCCCTACTGGGACCGCACATCTCACCTGATTCTTCAGGTCTAGTTTGGGGCATGGCCGCCCGCCGTTGAATGGCTTCTCCCGTAGCCATTTGGACCTGATTTTCAGCCTGCTGCCACAGGAGGCGCTGCAGGCCGACCACGGCGACCAGTCGCTCAGCTTGCAGTCCAGAGGGCAGGGTATGTGGCAGACCTCCTCCATCAGACCTGCGAAAGAGCATGTAGAGCAATCAGAGCGGCCGAGCCCCTGCCATTCAACATCACGCTAACAACGTTAGTGGAAACACCTGGTGCCGATGCTGAGACCTCCGTCTAATTTACACTGACAGTTCAGGGCACCCCACAGCTTCCTATATGACTAATGACTGCTTGCCTTCCCAGCGGAGGAAAAATTACTTGGCTCTTTACTGAGAGAGAGAACGAGAGAAAAAGGAGGTAGAAATGAGTAGATGAACCTGATTCACTGCAGCGGTCTGGGCTAACCAGGTGGGCTTCGTGGTCCAGACAGACCACAGCATGATAACGCAATCCCTGACCGCAGTCACGCGCCTCTTGCTGACCCCTCCATCCCTGGAGGGATCCTTGTGCTGGGGTCTCCGATAGGATACAAGACGTCCAATTACCATATGGCTGAGAAACAAACTCCTCACACGGACAGTGCTCGGACTCCACCAGAGGGTACAAGTCTTCCCGCTGACAGCGGTCTTGTTTCCGGCTCCAACCTAAAAATGGTGAGAAAATAGATGGAGAGCCAGAAAGAAAGATGGAAGAAGAGAGAGGGATCAATAAATAACAGAGACTAGTCATCTGAATTTTAGGCGCCATTTGGATGAAACATTCAGAATGCACTCTGGGAGCTCATGTGTGTGATATACTCATCTGTCTTTGAAAATTATTAAAACATTAATGATGTCTGGATAACTGGACCATTATTCATTCTGCTGGCAACTGTGGACTGCTAAGTGCCACTGCAAACATCCCCAGGGAATGATTAGAGAACTGTTCTGAGTAGATTGAAATAGAAACGCTTAGTGACGAGAGCAAGAGGCACAGAATAAACATGCTGTCTGAAATGTCTGTCTCTCCATTGAAAGTCCATTCACCAAAAACTATGACAATCACATTTTGAACTTGGCTGTTTAACATATAAGCACTGATCAAGGCATAAAGCATAAAGGCATAAAGCTCATCAAATATGTTAAACAGAAGCTGAACCTTAAATGCTTGACATGCAAGAACTTCACTGGTTCTTGCTGAAGCTCAAACGTGCTTGCATGACACTTTCAAAGGAGGGACAGAAATCTCTCAGGTTTCATTAAAATATCTTCATTTATGTTTTGAAGATGAAAGAAAGTCTCATGGGTTTGGAACAACATGAGGGCGAGTAAAAGATGAACATTTTCATTTTTAGGTGAACAAATAACCCTTTAACTTTTATGTTGTTTTATAATAAGTGTCAAACTTATCCGCTAGTTTGTTTTAAATGTTTAGTACAAAGGTAAGCATGGGGTAACATACCGCATAACTCAAGATTATGAGCAATTACTTTTTTCATTTAAAAAAAAAGATCTGGGTTAAGTCCCAATCAAACCCACCCCTCTCTCACTCCTGTCTATTCTCACGTGTTTCACTGATGAAAAATAAAAATACATAAATAAGAAATTAAAAATTCAACATCTAAACAAGATAAAAGTTAAGAAGAGCAATAACTTGACAATATTTAGCAAATCATTGAAGCACATTTATTTATTTTTTAGTTTTTCTTGGGGGGTCCAAGTCTTATAGGAGCGTGGGACTGAGAACTGAAACAACCAAAAGTGTCTTCCTTTCTCTCTCCAACATTCTTTATTTTTAAATATACAAACATAGACCCGGAGCACTCACATGTTCAGTGGACCATATACATCTAATTTACCTAATGAGGAGAGAAATGAATAGATTTCACATCATAAAGGCTTCTGTTTAAGAGGCTATTAGTTCCTCTTTGCACCACACTTCACTTCCTGGAACATTTCAAATTAGTCATGTCCATTAGACATGATGAATATTATTAGGTTATATAAATAAAATGATCTGTCAATGAGAGATGCTCCTTTTTAGACGTGCTGTCACTGACACTACAGACCAGCGTTCAACAGGGTCCTCAAACCTGTCAAGCATAATTCCATCAGCCTGTCAATCCTGTGGGCCGCACCGGACAATTATGGTCAAGCTGAAGAGCTGTGAAATATGATGCTTTGATGTACTGGATTCAGAAGCTTTTTGCGTTTTGTTGTTTGATTGAAGGATGCTGCTGTGTTGCATCAATGAGATCGGTGTGGTTTTACTGACAGCTAAAGTTTTTAAGATAATGCTGATGAAAGAGCATCGTCAATCATGATGCAATACTCAGTGGATTCAGTCAGTCTCTGATTGAGTTAAAAGCTAAATTAGACTGTCTCAGAGAATATAGGATTAGACAGCTTTGCTCTTGTGTTTCAAATTAGCTGCATAGAGGGTCAACCAAGAAAATCAGAAGTACTTGTTGCTGGGATTTACATGTATCGGCCGAGATACAACTATTTGAAAATCTAGAATCGGAGGGTGCAAAAAAAAATGTAAATATTGAGAAAATCACCTTTAAATTTGTCCAAATGAAGTTCTTAGCAATGCATATTACTAATCAAAAATTAAGTTTTAATATATGTACAGTAGGAAATGTACAAAATATTTTCATGGAACATGATCTTTACTTAATATCCTAATGATTTTTGGCATAAAAGAAAAATCAATAACTTTGACCCATACAATGTATTTTTGGCTATTGCTACAAATATACCCCAGCGACTTAAGACTGGTTTTGTGATCCAGGGTCACATATGTGCAAGTGTTTATGACTTTCTTTTATGCAACAGTTTAACAGTTCAATAGATAGTTACAGGATAAGTTTGGCAATTTTCAACCAACGTTGTATTGCTAATATGTTAGTATATGAAAACAAACAATGTGTACTCTTTCTCCATGTTACGTGCACTCAGATATCCCTGTTTATTTGTCAGCAAAAGTTTGCGGGATGATGCAAAATGTGTCATTTTAACTCATCCAGCAGACTTTTGACAGCTCCAGGGGTTTTGTTAAAAGTACAAATCGAAGTCATGGGTTTTTGAATTCCCGCCTGTAGACAGTTGGATCCAAAACTAAAAGAACATTATGTGTGTTGAAATTTTTGGCAAATGGAAGGCCACAGCCCTTTTCTGTTTTCCC